TTGGTTTTAGACTGAATTGATAATGTAAGTGTGGCTACCGTAGAGGGTTTCTAAAGTTGATGTTTCGAGAGTTATTCAGAGCGAACGCTCGAACGTCAGCTTTAGGGCCTGGTTACAAGGGCTGCGCCAATTAGGTTTGGCTGAGATTTCGTCAATTTAGTTTAACGCAAGAATTTACATGGCAACCGAGCCAGCCCAGTCATTGTGATACCGGGATCCCGGCTAACCGGGCTGGCTCGGTTGTCATGTAATCACGAAATTGATTTTTGTTGCGCCAATGAAAAGTGCCGAGATCTCGGCAAAATCCTGGCAAAACTAAGCCAGCCCGGCTCATAGAAATTCTTTACCGGGAAGGTGGCCAATTTATATTATCAACTCACTTGATAAAACAGGATCGTCTCCACTTATGCCGCTTTTTTGCGGCTCTGCAGATCGGAAATCCTTCTTTTTCACACCAAAGAGGATATAAAGGTGTCATGGGCTGATCTATTGTTACTCACAACTTTTAAGTTAAAAATGTCTTTTTTAAGTGTTGTTGACCTTGTTTCTGCAAGAACTTTTTATATTTATTTTACCTTAGTTTGTCATCCACAAGTAATTTGCCAGAAAAGTCAGCTTTTCACAAGAATTTTCTTTAATTTTAGTCATATCAAGGAGCATCTAAAAGAGGAAATTGAGTTCAAAGAAGAAGAAATGAGTGATGAAGACCTACAGTTCCACTACTTCCGACTTCATGATTACGACGGAAACAGAAAACTGGACGGACTGGAGATTATGCATGCCATCAGCCATTATCAGAACGAGTCGGGAGTAACAGACAAAGAGGAAACTTCGGACGAAGCTAATTCGAGAACCGTGGACCAGATTTTGGACGAGGATGACTTAAATTCAGACGGATATATTGACTATCCCGAATATATCGCATCGCATAAAACCACGACCAAAAATTCAGAAGGGCACGCAAACTAACCCGATACTCATTCCAGAAAAACTGCTTTTCTATGTAATTCTGATTTCAACTATTGCCTTAGTTTTTTCAAATATAACATTGATTATTAAGACGGGAAAAAAACTGTTACTTTTGCGCGTAGTATCCGTTCCGACTCGTTTCACACGTCACGCAACGTGCTCACACGGGAAGACAAAGCGTCGCGTGACGAGACTAAACACATGAGGCATTAATTTCGGCCGCCAGCGAGCCACTTTCCCGCGCATAATTTCACATGAAAACGTAAGAAACGACCGGTCTCAGAAAATAAACAAAAGAAAATTGAAATCTGTAAAAGAAAAAAGTAGGAAAAAGGAAAACTCGAGACTTTTGAACACAAAGCTTCTTCAAGAAATTTATTCCAAAACACCATGACTCACTGGCTTGTGTGGTTGTTTGCAACTTGTTTAACCCTTTAACTCCCAGATAAAATTTGTAATTCTCCTTACTGTCAACCATACAATTATTATAATGTTAGTTCAGAGAATTAAGTATCAAATCAACTAACTATCCCCAATTTGATATTTTTCTTTTTTCTCATCACTCATCTGGTTGATATTGTATTGATACTGTAAGGAGAAATTCTGTCTTGGTCACCTATGGGAGTTAAAGGGTTCTGACAGCCTGAAAGTACCCCACCTAGTTATTACAACAGTCGCACATGCAGATGCACTTTGTTGAGTGTTAGGTAGACCATACGCTCGATTAAGAACCACTGTTCAGAAAATGAACCCACAATCCTCAATCTATCCACAAGGATAGAGCATCAATTGCTTCATTTTGTTATTTTCAGTCATCAATTCTCCTTTTTTTTAGTCCACATTCAATTTCTGTTGTTGCAACAAAATAAAAATAAAACCTGAATAGGAAACCAAATGATTCTTCACTAGGATAAAGCCTCTTGCAACTCATACCCTTCTCCTACCCTTACTTATTTCAAGTGTGTGTGCATGGGTGTGGGTGGGTGTGTCTGTGTGTGATTTTTAGAGGAGGTAGAGTGGGGGGGAGGGGGTCCTGTGCACACAACATGCAAATCGTTAATTAAATGCCAAAAATTCACAGTTCTTAGGGTGTTAATTTCATCTTCTCACAGGCCACAAAAATTAATCCCTTGATCACTTAATCCCCTCATCATGCAGAAACCCCTCTTACCCTCTTGTTATAGTATGTTATTAACTTGGCACAGTAATTTAGTGAATTGTATTGGGGTAATGTAGAATAGTATTTTGTATTAACTAAGTCTATGTTATTAAACAATGCATGAAAACATAGTATCATGCTCCCCCACATGAGATATCTTTTAGGGCTAAGGGCTTCTTGACAATAGCCTAGATTGATTTATAGATTTGTAGTTCAAGTTGAATCACCATTAAGAGTGTGAACAATATACACTTAAATCAACTCAGGTTGCTCGTCATTTCTTGTGAAATCCCTTACAAACAAGCATGCCTGCTCTGAACCCTCAGTCAATAGGGACTGGTGATAATTTTAGTGCAAGAAGTGTGGCATTGGCAAAATAAGCCAAAGAAAAAGGTAGAGGCTACTTCTAAATATCTGACCACAACAAGGTTGCCCTCCAAGGTGATCTAAAGTGGAACAAATGATACTCAAAGTGAACTTCCCTTTCTTTGAAGAAAATGTGGAGTAATCATAGATTAAGCTTGATTTTTGCCGATCTCTCCTGACCACTTTTTGCTCCTCACTGGTTCAAGGGGGGGAGTGTGGGCTCATATTCCCAAACAGTGGCAGGTTATTGAGCCTATCATAGATGAGTATATAAGATACTTCAGTGGATACTTGGATGAGAAAGCAAAATAAATGATTGACCATTATCATGATAATTATGTACTCAGACATACTTTGATGTTTTAGAACTATACTGTGCATAATATTCTTCCTCCCTTGATGCAAGTTTTTGCCACTGAAAAATAGGGAAAAACCACCAGAGGTACCACTTTTGTCCACAAATGTCATAGAAGTTTTTCTTCCAACCTTTGCTGTAAATGAAATTTTTATGTTGCCATTCATAGGTTGTTTGCCCAGAGAAAATCAATGTCAGTTGAAAGAAGCAACAGCTGGCACAACCCAGAGTTTGAACAATACATAGCCATGTTACAACAACCACCAAGAAATAATACAACGTGACACTTCCATTCCATACTTTAAAGACTGTCAAAAGTGGAACAACTTTGCAGATGGCCTCAAAACTGAGAGGAATCAAAGGACCGATTTTCAGATGTAAATAAAATAAGTTTATGATCGCCACATAAGCTGATCCGACGAATGCGAAAAAATTAAAGACGACAAAGAAACGCGTATTTGCGTGACCAATGCAGGCTGCCGCAAAGAAACAATGATGGTCACGCCTAACTATACACCTGTCACAAAACGAACAATGATGTGACCTTGGAGGCGAATTTTGTTCGCACGATTGGCAATAGAAATCTCCATCGCGCCCCTCGCTGAATTCCTCCAGCCTCTTATGAGATGTGTCAGTCGTTACTACGTAGAAATAGTTTCCAACAGCATTGATCATAATGTAGATAAAAAGTATCAAATTTGTCGCCAGCAGCCCGACAGAGTTCGTAAACAATATTGGTATCACTTCAAAAATTTCTAACCAAAAAAGAAGGACGAACATAACAACGACATATCCAAGCCCAACAGTGTGAGTTCCGAGGATGGTGCCTCGCGAAGTCTTCCCGTAGAACTGATGCCGAGAAAAATCAATTGGTTGAGATGACGCACTCATCTTCCTCAAACCACTCCTAAGAGAATTCTCAGTACTATTGCACCACGGAGCATACGAGTACTGCTAAAGCCGCTGATATATTACGCGGGAGAATCAAGTTCACACGAGTCTCTTCTCGTAAAAATGAAGTCGAGTTCTAGAAGGCGCTCTGCGTTTTCTGTGTATCAATCGCAGATTGGAAAGGATGAAGAAAGTTCCCAGAAAGTGGAAGAAAAGGCTAATCAACCGTCTGGATCAAAGAAAAGGCCGCTCGACGAAAATCCTTCGAAGAGCACCTCAAAGAAAGTGAGCAAATTGCGCGGCTGTAAAAGTTTGGACGACGACGGAACAAATGGGATATTCGATCACGAGGAACGTACACCAGACATTCTAGAACCTAAACAGAAAGGAAAAGGGAAGTTACTTAGTAAAGCTAACAGACTGAGACAGAGTCTGTCCTTGTCTAGCCGGAAAAAGAAGAGGAATGGCTATCAAAGTTATGATCGTGTAGATTTACAGGAAAAGTCTTCAAGTAACTTGACCGTGCATAACTTGCCCGCTGATAAATCAGACAGAACAGACAGTGAGACCGGGAATGAAGAACCTTCTGAGGAAGAGCAAGCCAAGTGGAACTCGGAACAAGGAGATATAGAAGCTGACAGACTTTTCTCCTGGTTGATAAGTCCAGTGAAACCCGGGAAATTTTTCAGGTATAGGTTTAACCGTTGACTTTCCACAGGGAATTATTAGTTTGTTTTCGGAACAGTGTTTTTGACCCAGAGACTCAAACTGTACTGATCTACAGTTATTGGAAACGAAAACGACAAGAACCGAGATCAATAACACGCAACTGAATCCTAATAGAACATTCCATTTTT